GTTTCCCGCAAAACACATAAACGAGAATGCCTCTCATGTCATCAATTATTCTCCAGTCATGACTTTAATGATGGCTCTTATTACCTTTATCCTTCACCTTCATTTCTATTACAGTTAGGGTTTTTTTCCCCTTAATGCTTTGTAAAGGCATTCTATCAAACACTTAGGCTGTTTCCTTTTAAGTTTAAATAATGTTACTATGAACATCCTTGTACATGTAGTCAGATAATTTCTTTAGGAGAAAAACCTAGAAAGAGGATTATAGACCCAAAGAAGGACACCAAATACATACAGAAAAACTGTGCTCCTTCAACCAGCGGTGCGGAGGTGACGGCAGAGAGCTCAGCTCAGCTCACAGCACACAGTGTTCATTTCCCTCTTCAATCTTCACCAATTTGATATTTTAAAAAATACTGTCTTTCTAAAAATTGGGGTAAAATTCACATAATATAAAAGTGATACTTTTAAAGTTCACTATTCAGTGGCATTTAGTACAGTACATTCACAATGTTGTGCAACCATCACTACTATCTAGTTTCAGACATATTCATCACCCCAAAAGGAGACTCTGTACCCATTAATAGTCACTCTTCATTCCCTCCTCCTCAAGCCCCTGGCAACCACTAGTCTGTTTTCTCTCTGTATGGATTTAGCTATTTTGGAAATTTCACATAAATGGAATCACACAATATGTGGCTTTGTGTCTGGCTTCTTTCACTCAGTGTCATGTTTTCAAGGTTGATCCACAGTGTAGTGTGTGTCAGTGCTTCATTTCCTTGTTATGGCTGAATAATATCCCGTTGTACGGATGGACCACATTTTGTTTATCCATTCTTCAATTGGTGGACATTTGGGTGTTTTCCACCTTTTGGTGATTGTGAATAACGCTGCCATGAACATTCATGTACAAGGTGTTGTTTGAGCACCTTTTTCCACTTTTTTGGTGTACACCCAGCATGGGAATGCTGGGTCATATGGTAACTTTATGGTTAATTTTGAGGAACTGCCTGTCTTGTTTTAATTTGCATTTCTTGAATTACCATGGGGTAAAAATATCCTCCATATGGGTATTGGGCATTTGCATTTTCCATCGGCTTATTTGTCTGCTGGGGCATTAGAGAATCACTGTCAGCCTCGGGCAAGGGGGGCTTTTACCCTGTATTCATGCTTCTGAGGACCCTACTCTGATCCTCTTCTCTCCTACCCCTCCCAAAGGGTGAAACGTCCACAAAGCCAAGAGTACGTGTTGCTCTGGACCTTGCAACCTCATTGTAGACAATGGTCTATCAGATCCTAGAATTCCCTGCCCAGGTGTCTCCAAGCCACTAGCAGGGCCTGAGGGTGGACCCCTTTGCTGGGTCCATCCCCATGACGTGGACCATGCTGCTGGGGTGCCCTACCCTATGTGTAGTCCAGGAGCGGCTGCTGGTGGAGGGTGTGGGGTGTCCATACATGTACACGTGAGGCTCCTGGAAGTGCTGGATGGGGCCTAGGTGGGAGAAGGGGATAGTCCACGGTCAGGGGCAGGGCCAGGGAACTCCCGACACCACCACATTCCAGTGTGGAACTCTACAGGGTCCAGGAATTCTAAATTCAAATCTGGCTTTCCAGGTCATTATGAAGCTATGTTTCTCAATAAGGAGTTGGAACATATTTCATTTAACTGTTGTTAATTTTAATTTTAAATATTCATTCAGATAGTATGTGGGCCTTCATTTGAACTCCACAAATGTTGGGGGCTTTGCCTGCTGTTCATTTTTCTTAAAGATATGTGAGAGTTAAGCATTTTTTAGGACCACACTCTTCTAGTTTGTGATTTGCCTAAAAGTTTGTTTCAATTTAACAATGTTTTGTGATATTCAGAAATCACACTTTTTGAATAGTCATATCCAGTTACTTTTTTCTCCGTGAAGTCTTCCAGGTAATTGAATTTCTGTCATTCTCTCTCCATAAGGGCTCTGATGTTCTCTCTGATATCACTTAATTTGCAGTAAAAGGGCCTCTTTCAGACACATGCTCTGGGCATCTCCGCCCAGTGTGCCTTTTCTTGGATGTAGATTTCTTAAGTGGAGTCTGAGATTCTTGGTTTGGGAGTTTTATTTCGCTTGAGTTTCTGTAGATTTCAGGTCAAGCTTTGCTTTTTTTCACAGGATGAATCCTTCAGAGGACCTCACTGGAGTGTCTTCTCAGTTGAATATTCTTTTAATTTGACTTGTGCTAGATCAGGAGTTGGCAAACTAAAGTTTGAGGGCCAAATCTGGCCCCTTGCCTTTTTTTTTTTAAATAATTTTATTTATTTATTTATTTTTCCCCCAAAGCCCCAGTAGATAGTTGTATGTCATAGCTGCACATCCTTCCAGTAGCTGCACGTGGGACATGGTCCCAGCATGGCCGGAGAAGTGGCGCGTCAGTGCACACCCGGGATCTGAACCCGGGCCACCAGCAGCGGAGCCTGCGCACCCAACTGCCAAGCCACGGGGCCGGCCCTTCCTTGCCTGTTTTTGTCAATAAAGTTTTATTGAAACATAGCCATGCACACTTGCTTATACATTGTCTCTGGCTGCTTTCATACTAGAATGGCTGAGTTGAGCAGTTGCAATAGAGATCATGTAACCCACTAAGTCTAAAATAATCACTCTGTGGCCCTTTCCAGAAAATATTTGCCCCTGTGCTTGATCAACCTGGCTGCCTACTTCCTGCTTCCTGGTTTTCCTTTCTTCAGGTAAAAATGGGCATCCCTCAGTCATTGCCTCTTTGCTCCTGTTCAGTTCTTTGATGGCTCTGACTTCTTCATAATTAAACTATCTCTGGATTGGAGCAAGCACATTTTTGTTTTTCTCTCTATATTTTCAGAACTCAAATCTAAAATTTATTTTTCCAAAATTAAAATTGTATCAAACTTCTAAAACATTTAGATGTTCAGTCTCAATTTCTCTTGTCCGGTGGCTGTGGATGAGTATTTGCAGAGGCACAGCCACTTTTTCTTTTCTTCTAAGGGTCACTGGCTTGCAGGTCACCCTAGTGCCACTAGATGGCGCACAAATCTGGACTCTCCTTCTACCACCCCTGCCCTCCTTGTCTCTGAGTTGGCATTTGAGGATCTCAAGGCGGAACTACGCTTGTCTCTTAAACCTATTAACTCTTGAGAAGCAGGGAAAGATTGCATTAGGACCATTTTCCTAAAAACAAAGTCCCATGTTCCAAATGAGTGCAAAATATTCTCAAAAACATCCCAGTAGAGATATATCTTTTCTGAGATAGCAGGTTAATCAATAATAAAATGATAAAACTATGGCCAATCCAGGATCTGTACTGAAGCCTCATCATTTGAATGAAAACAGTCAATAATTTCAGAGTTACTTTCCATCTAATTAACGCAGATGTATCCATGAGGCACAGTGCCTGGGACCCCCAATACTATTGAGGGGCCCATGAAGTGGTTTAAATTTCTTTTAAGATCTGAAGAAATAAACGAACTTTTATGGTGGAAGATTATATTCTTCTTTAAAAAACACAGCCCTAAAATAAAAAAAATTAAATTTTTACAAAATTTAATACATTTAAATAAAATTGAAATCTTATTTAATTTATTAATGAATTCAAAAAAATTATGGGAGAAGGCAAAAGCGCCTGTGGCTCTGGGAGCCCTGATGTAGCCTGGGGTGTCAGGATTCCTACAAGTGTCATTGTGCTCATCTCAGGCGTCCATGCTGTGGGCTTTGCCCTTCTCAGGCATTCAGACTGGAGCTGATGCTGTCAATTCCTGGCCACGTGCCGTTGGCCTTCATCATTTCCTTTCTCATCAGCCAGACCTGGAACTCCCTGTACACGTGGCAAGTCGGAGGTGCTGGGAGATCCACGCCTCCTGGTGGAAACACTCAAGCAACGACTAACTGGGTTTGATGGATAAACACTCAGTTTCCTCATCACCCCGCAAGGTTCCCCAGCTGGGATTAAATTCCAGTTGCCCACAGAGGTGAAGTCCTTGATAATGCACCTTTTATTCTCTGTCTCCCTTCCCCATCTCCTGCCCCACACCCTCATCCATGTTTTGGGGTATGAGGTCCCAGATAAACTATTGGTTCTTGAATCCTTGCTTCAAGATCTGTTTCTAGGGGAATTCAAAGTGAGGCACTGATGTTCTTACCATCTCCCCCCACCCCAAATTCAGTAGGTATTCTTTATAGGGTTCCTCTGACTTTCTTTTCTTTTTTATTGAAATATATTTGACATATAACATTGTGTAAGTTTAAGGTGTCCAACCTGTTGATTTGATACATTTATATATTGTAATACGATCGCTGTGGCAGTGAAAGTTAGCACCTCTATCACGTCACAGACTTATTTCTTTTTAGTGGTTGGAATAATTAAGATCCAGTCTCTCAGCAAGTTTGATGACTATAATACAACGTTGTTTCTATATTCGCTCTACTGTGCCTCAGATCGACAGGACTTATTTAACTATGAGTTGCAGGTTTGTCCCCTTAAACAACATGTCTCCTATTCCCCAACCCCAGCCCCTGGTAACAACAATTCTACTCTCTGTTTTTCTATGAATTTCTCTTTTGGATGCCACTTATAAGTGAGATCATACAGTATTTGTCTTTCTCTGTCTGACTTAACTCCTTTAGCATAATGCCCTCAGGGTCCATACATGTTGTCACAAATGGCAGGATGCCCTTCTTTCTCATGGCTGAGTAATATTCCATTGTGTATATATACCACATCTTCTTTATTCATTCATCTGTGGATGGGAGCTGAGGTTGTTTTTCTGTGATTTTCTTGTCTATTGAACAGACACTTGCTGGCTGGGTGATCTTAGGAAAACAGTGACTTACCATTTCTGAGTCTTTCTTTCCTTTTTTGTAAAAGAGGGATGATTATCCTTCTCCACCGCTACCTGTTGCACAGCAGACCCTTAGTAATTTTTCCATTTTATTTACTCCATCCTCTCCTCTTAGGCTCCTGAGAAGCAGCAGGAAAATGTCACCTGGCTGGTGATGGAGTTTGTGCTGGTGGGTTTCTCCAACCTCCCAGACCTGAGGACCACTCTCTTTGCCCTGTTCTTCCTCACATACCTGGTCACCCTCAGTGGCAACGTCACCATCATCACCACCATCCACGTGGATAGGACCCTTCACACTCCCATGTACCACTTCCTGGCAGTGCTGTCCCTCTCTGAGACCTGCTACACGCTGGTCACCATCTCAAATATGCTGGCTCATCTGCTCATGGAGAGCCAGGCCATCTCCATCGCTGGCTGTGGGGCTCAGATGTTCTTCTTCCTGGGCCTGGGATGCAGCCACTGCTTCCTCCTCAACCTGATGGGTTACGACCGCTATGTAGCCATCTGCCATCCCCTGCGTTATTCAGTGATCATGAGACCCCCCAGTTTGCCTCACCCTGGGAGCCCTGGTTTTCTGCTCCGGGTTCTCGGTGGCTTTGATGGACACCAGCATGATCTTCTCCTCACCCTTCTGCCGCAGCGACCGCGTGGAGCACTTCTGCGACATCGCCCGGTCCTGAGGCTCAGCTGTGTGGGGAGTGCCGGCATAGCGCTGGGCGTCTTCTTCCTGAGCGTCCTCGTGGTGCTGGTCTCCTTCCTTGTCGTCCTCCTCTGCTACGGCTTCATCGTGGCCGCCATCGTGAGGATGCCCTCCGCAGCCAGTCGGCACAAGGCATTCTCCACCCGCGCGGCCCACCTCACCGTGGTCATTGTGCCTTTTGGCTGCGCCTCCATCATCTACCTGCAGCCCGAATCCAGAGGGAACCCCGAGCAGGACCGCCTGGTGGCTGTGTTCTACACGGTGGTGACGCCGCTGCTGAACCCCGTGGTGTACAACTCTGCCCAACCAGGAGGTGAGGGTGGCTCTGAGGAGGACCCTGGCGCGAAGCCGCGGGGTTTTTAAATAGACACTTGCTCTACATTCCCGCTCTAGCCTTTGCATTAACGTGTGCTCCGCCTGACACTCATTCCCCACCTGGAAAACAGGCCCCCCCCCCCCAACCTTACATGGAATAGCCTATTCAACGAGGCGGTTATCAAACAGTGCTGAGACCTGGCTGACTCCGTAAAGGTTGCCTTTTCTCTTGGTCTCATTTCCTTGACTGTGGGGGGGGGTGCGCCGGGGTCTACAGTGCAGGATGGTCTCCGGCAGACGGCGTCCCTGACCCCGCCGCGCGTGGGCGGGTAGCGGAGGGCAGTGGCGTAGCCAGCGGTGAGCTGCGATTGGCACCCGTTCCGGCATCCCTTTATTTGTCTCACTCAGAATTTTTTTCACATTTTTTTTGGAAGGGGGCCCTGTTTATCACCAACCCAAGGCTGCCTTTGTTTATTTTTTCTGTCAGAATTGCACAGTTGAATGCAGTTGTGTTCATGATTATCCTGTAGCTATGTTCCCCTTGGATCCTTTATTTCTTTGGTGTATGATGGGAAAAAAAGAAAGAAGGTGGAATTAAAAAAAGTTACTGTGGGGCCGCCCGGTGGCTTAGCGGTTAAGTGCGCGCGCTCGGCTGCTGGCGGCTGGGGTTTGGATCTGGACGCGCACCGACGCACCACTTCTCTGGCCATGATGATGCCACATCCCACATACAGCAACTAGAAGGATGTGCAACTATGACATACAACTATCTACTGGGGCTTTGGGGAAAAAAAGGAGGAGGATTAGCAATAGATGTTAGCTCAGAGCCGGTCTTCCAAAAAAAAAAAAAGAGGAGGATTAGCATGGATGTTAGCTCAGGGCTTATCTTCCTCACACACACACATGAAAAAGGTACTGTGGTAAAATATATATAACATAAAATTTGCCATTTTAACCATTTTAAGTGTACCAGTCAGTGGCATTAATTACATTCACAATTTTGTGCAACCATGACCCCCCCCGCTATTTCTACAAGGTTTTTTTCGTCATCCTAAACTGAAACTCTGTACCCGTTAAACAGTGACTCCCCATTCCCCCTCCTCCCGGTCCCTGGTAACCTCTAATCTACTTTCTGTCACTATGAATTTGCCTATTCTAGATATTTCATGTAAGTGGAACCATATGATATTTGTTCTTTTGTGTCTGGCTTATTTCACTGAACATAATGTTATGAAGGTTCGTCCACGTTGTAGCATTTGTCAGAGCTTCATTCCTTTCTATGGCTGCATAATATTCCATTGTATGGATGGACCATACTTTGTTTATCCATTCATGTCTTGATGGCCACTTGAGTTGTCTGCGCCTTTTGGCTGCTGTGTGGTGCGGGGACTGGCGGTGCTGTGCGCAGTCGTGTGTGAGTCTCTGATGGAGTCCCTGCTTTCAGTCCCTTTGGGCATGCACCTAGGAGTGGAATTGCTGGATCGTGAGGTAATTCTATGTTTGACTATTTGAGGAGTCACCAAGTCGTGTTTCATAGTGGCTGCACCATTTTACATTCCCACTGGCAGTGTACAAGTGTTCAAATTTCTCCACGTTCTTGCCAACACTTTTTTTTTTCAAAATTATAGCCATCCTAGTAGATGTGAAATGGTACTTCACTGTGGTTTAGTAGTTCACTTTTGTTTAATTAAACACTGATGATGGATTGAAGTCATCCAAAGTACAGTAGTGCCTCATTATTCTTGGGAGATATGTTCCAAGACCCCCAGTGGATGCTTGAAACCATGGATAGTCCCGAACCCTATATATACTATGTTTTTTCCCATGCATACATGCCTATGATAAATTTTACTTGATAAATTAGACACCTTAAGAGATTGACAACAATAACTGATAATAAAATAGAACAATTATAACAATATACTGTAATGAAAGTTCCATAGATCTTAGCAACCTCAGCACATGATTTTTTTCCTTTCATTATGAAGTTGAGCACTTTCACCTTTCAATTAAATGAAGCAAAATATGGCTTCTCTTTGCCATATCAGAATTGTCAGCATCTCTATTCTTGCACTTTGGGGCCATTATTAAGTAAAATATGGGTTATTTGAACATGAGCACTGTGAAACTGTGACAGTTGATCTGATAACTGAGATGGCTACTAAGTGACTAACAGGTGGGTAGCATATACAGTGTGGATACGCTGGACAAAGGGATGACTCATGTCCCAGGCAGAATGGAGTGCGATGGTGTGAGATTTCATCAAGCTACTCAGAATGGTGTGAAATTTAAAATTTATGAGTTTTTTATTTCTGGAAAATTCCATTTAATATTTTTGGCCATGATTGACTGCAGGTAAATGAAACTGCAGACAGCCAAACTGCAGATAAGGGAGGGAACTACTGTATCTTCTCTGAACACAATAGAATGAAAGGAGAAATCAGTAACAGAAGGAAAACAGGACACTTCACAAATATGTAGAAATTAAACAACACTCTTAGCAAATGGGGTCAAAAATAAAATTACAAATTTGATTGGAAAATACTTGAGATGAATGAAAATGAAAATATAACATACCCAAACTTATGGGATGCAGCAAAAGTAGTGATCAGAGGGAAGTTCATAGCTCTAATTGCTTACATTAAAAAAGAAGAAAGATCTCAAATCAATATTCTAACTTTACACCTCAAGGAACTTAAAAAAAGAGCAAGCTAAGCACTGGTGTTGGGACTGCCACTGTGAAATTCTCCAGGAAAATATGGTCTGTGCTTAACGTGCTGTATGTTCCATTTGTCCCAACAGGTCCACCCTTCTCCACTCTGCTCTCTGTCTCAGGAGGTCCACCTGTCTGGATCACATTGATGGGCTCTCTGCCCTCTGGCTTCTGGTTGGTTTTGGCCAATAGGAGGCACTGGGAGGAGATGGAGGGCAGGAGGAGATAAAGGCCAGGGTATTACTCTCCCAGATCTCTCTCTACCTGGTTGCCATGGGTGGTTGCTCTCTTAATCAGAGGCCACAGCCCCTTCCGCACAGCACTTTTTCTGGGTAGCTGTAATCACTCTCTTCTTTGCACCTTCAGGCATGTGGGTATTCACAGCTCTCCAGTGATGCTAGCTCTGGGGTGATGACAGCCCTGAACTCTGCCTACACCTTTACAAAAAGCCCCTTTAAAAACTGCCCCTATAGCCCGCTCGGTGGCCTAGTGGTTAAGTGCATGTGCTCTGCTGTGGTGGCCCAGGGCTCAGATCCTGGGCGCGCACTGACACACCACTTGTCAAGCCATGCTGTGGCGGTGTCCCATGGAAAAGTGGAGAAAGGTGGGCACGGATGTCAGCCCAGGGCCAGTCTTCCTCAGCAAACAAAAAGAGGAGGATTGGCATCGATGTTAGCTCAGGGTTGATCTTCCTCACAAAAAAAGCAAAAAAAAAAGACTGCCCCTGTATTATTTAGCAGGAATGTGTCATCCATTTCCTTTTGGATCCTGGTTGATACACTGACAAGTGGAATTGCTTAAAAAGGAAGAAGGAAATGCCTAAGAAAAATTCTCATTATGTACCCACCTGTGATCGTGTTGGGGAAACCATGCCACCATCTCCAGAACTCTGACTTCTCATGTGGTCCACTGTACCTTGTCTTTGAGATGCCTCCCTTTGCTTCTCCATTTTCTAGTTCTACCACTCATTTTCTGCAGATTTAAATGTGTACATGATTATATGACTCTCACAGGGATAAGATTTTGAAAATGCCAAAGAGATGTGTTTATTAAAATCTTCTCCTCTTTCCGATAACATGCATTCCCCTGAAATGGTTCTTCCATCATGGTCCCATGAAAAGAAGAGGGTAATTTCTACTTCAGGAAGGAGTAGTACCTCCAGGAGGAGGTAAGTACCAGGAGGAGAGAAGGAGAGAGGATGGGGGTGGAAATTGGGGAAACAAATGGTCAGGCATTGGAGTCTTGAAATCCAAAAGAAGGGACAGGGAGACTTTAAGACGGTCGCCAGTGATCTTCCTTCCTGATGCTCATGACCTCATGTAATTCCCTCCTCTTGAGTAACTTGCTTCTAACCAAAAGAATATGAAAATATTGAGGGATGTCACTTCCATAATCACGTTACAAAGATTCTGACGTTGGTCTTGCTAGCAGACTCTCTCCCTTGCTGGCTTTGATGGAGTGAGTGGCCACACTGAAGAATCCCATGTGGCAAGGAGCTGCGGGCAGCCTCTGGCCAACAGCTGTTGAGGAACTGAATCCCATTTGAAACCAAATAAACAAATTAGGAAAAGGATCCTTCTTCTGTCGAGCCTTTGGATGAGACCTTGGCCCTGGACAGCATCTTGACTGAAGCCTATGAGAGATTGTGAAGCAGTGGTCCCAGCTAAGCCATGCCCAGACTCCTGATCTACAGAAACTTTCAGATAATAAACGTGTGTGGTTTTAAGTTGCTAAGTTCTGGCAAATCTGTTATGCAGCAACAGATAACTAATACATGATGTGTGTGTGTGTGGGGGGGGCGGCAAAAGTGAGGGCCTTCTTTTGTCCCATGTATGAACCCTAGGAAAAGTCTACCATGCAGGTTGGCTCACCCAATATCCGTTTTTTCTCCTCCTTCTTGCTAACAGAACCCTGACTTAGTTTAGGTTTCAGGGAAGTCTTGGAAGCTGGGCCACTGCTAGCACCAGAATTGAGATTTTTGATTATTATAAGCCAATCATAATAACTCCATTCTCTTGCTAGACAGTGATACAGAAATGGGCACATGACTCAGTTATGGCCAATAGGAGTGGGAGGGAAGTCAGCAGAGGGGGATTCTGTAATTTCCTTGCATTTATTTTTTTATTTTTATTTTTTTTTAAATTTTTATTTATTTTCCCCCAAAGCACCAGTAGATAGTTGTATGTTGTAGTTGCACAGCCTTCTAGTTGCTGTATGTGGGACGCGGCCTCAGCATGGCCAGAGAAGCGGTGCGTCGGTGCATGCCCGGGATCCGAACCCAGGCC